CTATCTTCATACATGTATGTATACATGTATGCATGTATGTATGTGCACTTGTATATGTATATATGCGATATATATATATATATATATATATATATATATATATATATATGTGTGTGTGTGTGTGTGTGTGTGTACTTTGGAAGCAGTCTATTCTTTAAGCACACTTTGTCAAAAATTGCAACGGAATTAACATTGTTCATCTTTTTTTATGTGTTCTCAATAGATATGATGACAACTTTGGCTTCTTCTCAATGTTCGCTTAAAATGACATCAAAGCTCATGATGCAAAGAAGATATAGATTGACTCATCGCATGGCGTATTATTAGTTATCTTCTAAACATTGAATGCATTAGTGATATTCGATTGATCAATTTGATCAATTGAATCGAAATCGAGTTTGATTTTGATTGATCAGTTGAAATCAAATGGTGATCGATCGGTGTTGCTACCAAATGGAGCGCATCACCGGTGAGTATAACTCAGGATACTTTTATGGCAATGTTGAAACTCACTCACTCAACCGGGCACTCTATTGAGGCGTATAATTCATAAATTCCTTGACCATCCTATGATCTTGCCAAAAAGTCACAAGGTTACTGAGCCCTTATGTTTAATCCGCGTGTTCCTTAAAGTTTTTCTCCGAGTTCGTCGATTGACTAAAAACAAGAATAAGACTAGGCATGGTAACATCCCTGGATATCAGTAGTCTTCTCATAGATGTCCCTGTCGAACGGACTGTCGACGTACTAGCCCGGTACGCTTACCATCGTGAACTGCCCGCACCAGACAGTCCTGAACACATCATGCATGCAATCTCGAGATTGTGCACCACCAAGTCACCCTTCCGACGTCCTGAAGCGAAGCTGTTTTACCAAACAGATGGCATTGCAATAGACTCACCACTGGATGTCCTGTTTGCCCAAGCCTTTATGTCCTCGGCTGAGCAAGAAGCTCTTGCGGATACGTCATCAAACCTCATATGTATGTGCGATATGTTGATGACATTTTAGGGACATAAAGGTCTTACCGTTCTGAACACATGAAATCCAGCCTAGAATCTGTATCATGCCTAAATTTTACCACCCAGGAGAGTTTTCGGGAAAAGGACATGTTTTTTGGATGCATCAATCAACGCTCGAGACAAGACCTTTGCAACCAGCGTCCACTGAAAGCTTACTGCCGCCGCCAAATGTCTGAACGGAGAGAGCATGTGTCCCGACGGGTACAAAACCAGTGTTATGCGGGCTTACATCCACCGTGCCCTTAAGCATTGCTCGTCATGGCCCCTTGTACAACAGGAGTTTAGGCGTGTTAGTAAAGTCTAGCCAACGACGATTACGACTTGCGCACTGCGGAAGACTAGATCAACCGGACCAATGCACAGTACCTGGAGTCAAAGCAAAAACAGAAAATCAGAATGCGTACCACATATTGTCGAAAAACATGACTTCTGGTTGTAAAGCTGACGAAAAGGCTCTGCTAAACATTGCCCATCACAATAGCCGAACAAAGGATCCTAATGACACCTTCAAACTTAACATCTATCACCAGAGTTCAACTAAATCCTTCTGGATTATGCAAAATGACCCTGATAATCGTCAACCCATCTACCCATAAAACGGCGGCCACACACATACAAGGAGACCCAACACAAACCCGCCAGACACGCCAAATGCCAAACAACACAAAAGTCGTAGCACGCTCCGCACAGAGACGAGCTTTCATCGCTCTAGGAGCAATACACATCCGCTAATGGGACCCCGTCATTAACAAACAAATGCACCCGGAACCCTCTATCTGCACTAAGGGCCGCCGTTAGGAAGTAGAGTGCAGGACATTGAGTGTTTTACGTTTCGCGGATGAACATTGTTGCCTGTTAATGAGTTTGTGTAATGCGTACATGTTTATGCCTGAATTGTGATACGTACGCAGTATGTTTGTGCTATACCGGTGTCACAAAAAAACGATGTATTTAGACATGAGATCATGAGTTTTAGAATAGTTCCGAGAGGACTTGAGTTTAAAAACAATTATATCGACTTTGTCTAAAACCGTCACTCCAGAAAATGCCCAATGTAGGATGACAAGTTGAGAACATAACTAGCACCAGGTCATGTAACATGTTAATCCATATCCTCTTTACATAATAAGCCTTGGTGCCATCTTAAACGAACAGAGAGAAGAGGCGAAAGCTTTCATCGGGTTTATTGGGAAAACATAAGAAAATGTTATGAATGCTGATTGTGCTGTGTTGCTTTTTTGGCACAACATACATGTATATATATATATATATATATATATATATATATATACACATGACAATATATATGCATGCATATATGTATTTATGTGTATATATATATATATATATATATATATATATATATATATACATACATACATATATATGTTGACATCCTAACGTCCTAACACAGAATCAGCTCTGGTCAGCATACTGGTCACGACTATATATATATATATATAGTCGTGACCGGTAGACTAACCAGGGCTGATTCTGTGTTAGGCGCATTGAACACACCAAATATACCCGAGTACCAGCTGGTAAATAAATCTGAGCAATTAACAATGCATTAGAACCGCTTGCCAGAAGACAGACGTCCCAATTCGGCGGCGACCCAATGCCAAGATGAATTAAAAGGACGATGTCTTGAGCCACGGGAAGTTGTGTTAGCCATCCGCACCCTGAGCCTTTGTCTTTTGGCGCAACAATAGTCAAAATATATTATCCGCAGAATGGCCAAGCCCGAGACGGATATTATGCGATGTTGAAACGATGGCTTTTGTCTGGGGTCACGATGTCTCTTTTCCAAATTGGTTCAGTTGATTTTTTCAGTTATATTGAACAAACCTCAGCAGTGTCGAAAAATTCCTTAGTGGGATTGCGTATATAGCTATGGGTGCAACAGCGCTAAAAGCCTATAATTGTCAACTTTAGTTATGAAACATCCTTGGGACATCACTCGTGACCCATAAGTCAGGGGGCATTGACATTGTGTCAGTTTGGGTCTACGCATCAGATCACCTCTGGTATCAATTTTCAGTAAAATCTGAGTCAAAACCGTGATAAATCGCCCAGCTGGTTCTGTGCTGGGCGCGAGACCATACCTGTCTGTTCTGTTTCAGGGTGCATGCGATCTAAACTAAAATTGTTATGCACAGTCCATGCACATCGCGCGCGATAGCATTGCCGTCTTATTTATGAAAGCTATGGACTGAATTGAAGTCCTAGTTATCTGCTTTCATGTACCGTTATGCCCTAGAATATGCTGCTCTAACTCAAAAGTGAGGAGCAAGCTAGCTAACCCTTGAACCAAACCGCGCAAGGCAGAAATAGGCCGTTTAGAAGCGTTCGCAGAGAGCCTGTTACGCAAGCCTCAATGCCTGAGTGAATAACGTAAAACGCACAGCGTGAATAGCCCCTATCAATACCCCGTAAGCCGCAAACATCCATCCGCATTCGACCTGGACTTGTATGGAGGTGATCGCCCCTAATGCCCGTCGCTCGTACGTGTAATTCGGCCATGCCCTGAACGCCATGGCTATCAGCATTATCCTCTTCATATCATGAACCCTTGCATCTCCCGGACTCCATGACACGATAGATCACGTCAGCCGCAATATGACACCATAAAACCGCGGTCCGCAGTGTCTAAATTGATAGCTGCGATTACTGAACCGGTCTGCAGGAGATATTTGCCCGCCGACGGACCGCACCCAGCGCGCAGACATGGCAGACCGTGTGGCTCAACTGTATGTATTATGCATCAGGCGGCGGTGGGCCGGTCCGGCGGTGACCTGCCCTGATGTAGCCCGCTCCTGAAGGGCGCGATGATCGCCTCAGTGGCGGACCACGTCCGAGACCCGGCCGCGCTGCGCCTTCTGCCACCGCTTATTAACGGGATAGCTGCTTTGCAACGAACCTCAGTGTGGGCAGATTCAGATGGATGATGCGGTTGATATGCAGGTGCACTACCGTGCCTTGAATGTCGATGACTTCATGCCAGCTCTCCCGGGTGACTCCTTGTTTATTACAGAAGTTCCCGATCAGGGGGGAGGGGATTTCCGGCATGGAGAAGCCGTGACGGTCTCAGGGGCAGGAAATTGTCAAATGGCCAAACAGTGCCTGAGGTGAAGCACAGTTTTGCAAGGTGAGTTGGGGCCCGAACTGAGCAAAAATTATGAAACCTACTCCCAAAATTCGTCAACAAACGGGTCTTCCTTGATTGACCCACCTTTCTTTCAATATGGGGGCTGGGCCCAAGTGGGGGAGGGGAGAGGGGGGTGGGCTAAAGCCCTCCCTCCGTTGTCTCCCTACTGAATAGGAAACTACGCCTCTGTGTGTGAGCCAAGAAAGATAGCAGTCCAGGCAGCGCAGACAGGTAGATGCCAACCGGAAGATGATGTGTTTCATGCGCAGAGTAAAAAAATGCCGTAATAGCTAATGGCAAGACGAGTGATTCCATTCATATTGAGCGTTCAGTCAGCAGCGAGATACTGAGGGCTCAGTGTATGCGATTTGTTTTTTTCTGCCCGAATACAATTGCTATACAAACGCTCATGTGTATAGTCAGCTGGTTGCATGAACATGGCCATCAGGTAATGTGCGCGAAATCACCAGGGCAGCCTGCGCGCCATAAAACACCAATAGACGGCAAACGGTCACAACCAGAGGTAAGAATGCGTATGTCTCTCGTTGATTGAGCTTTCTTGTTTCCCCGGGCTAAACATAGCCTGATCCGTCCTCAAGGAGAAGTGGACCATCACAGTTTGAGAGACAATGGTTTATCAGAGTGAATTTCAAACAAAGCCGTGTTGTTGCCGACACGCGATTCTGAGTCGGCTGTTGTTGGTCCACATTATTGGAGGCATGCACAGCATCGGGTGGTCGTGCGTCGATCATTGGTCCCTGTTGACAAACAGGCCGGGTCATCCTGCAATTCTTGACGAACAAACAGCAGTGGATGCAAGACTGGGTTTATTGTAACATACGACATAGGCATCACGCACACGTACATCACCCCCTAGCCCGCGGGTGCTTTCCCCGTTCAGCCCGTGGATGCGGCTTTATCCACAACGAAGGCGCCCGGGATCCCCCACGCATGACCTAGTAACTTCGTCTAAGATGCCTGTATGATGAGACTGCGGTGCCCTTGGTATATCCACGAAGTGCGCATCCGTCTGGCAATGCCGTCATCCTATGGCAGGCGCGGCGCTCGATCCACGAACTGCTGGCTATCCTCGACAGCTTCGATGAATCACGCGAGACATGAATTGAACCAGACCAAAAGGGATCGCCCAACGGCACTTGGCTTCCCCTCGGCATTCGGCAACAAGTTTATTCGCGTCTAATACACAGCCAGGAATGAGATGAAGACCGCCAGCCTCTAGAGTACAGCCCTGGATGAAAATTGACCGGCGCTTCGCGATCCCCAAGCTCTAAATGATTATTGGCTTAAGTTCTTCACTTATGTTATTTGTACAAACGCCAGGGCAGCGCAGCCAATACGCTAGATATGCAATACGTCACATGTACTGTACAGACACTGGTCCAACACTGCGACTTACAAATACTTTCCAGTGAGTATACATGCCACACAGCTTTGCATCAGCTCATAACATAAATAACACAAATCCGACAATGAGGCAAGTTATGGCACATGATGGAACTGCAGCACAACGTGGAGCGATAATATTTTCCTGAAGTTTTAATGAGAAACATGGCTGCAGCAGTGTTTCGGCGTGACTGTAATGCTCGACACGAGCATTCCAAGCTTATACAACCAATTGGCGGCATTCGGAGGAGTCATTTCCCGCGACGCCTCTGTGACTGCCATTACACATTGCTGTTTATCTGTATACAGCGCCGAGATCGTACGAGCGTCATGCGACACCGTCTTGGTTCGGGTATACCCACGGTTCCTAAAGTTGGGTATGCACGGATTTGCCGCTTTCTAGTTTGCTCTTCATTCACCAGAGGTCAGCGCGGACGCTCCCGACCGCACCGACCAGCGTAGTCCGCCTTCTCGCCCCTAGATGTCAGCACTCGCCCGCTAGTCGCCGTCGTGTAGTTCGCAGCCGGGATCGTAGGAGAAGCCGACGAAGTGGCGGTCGAGGCTGAGCTGGCTCAGTGTGGAGTCTGCACGTGAGTCCCGACAGCGGCCCACGCTCGAGCTCACCGGCTCACGTGTGAACACCGGGTCGAAGTGGCGCACGTCGTCATCACCGCTCTGTAACACGTGCACAGGAGGCTTACAAATCAACAGGGATGGGCGGAGTCCTCGTGCCGAGCTTAGTGGCGTGGAACGGGCGTCCGGTGAGGCGTGCACTGTTTGCCTATATTTTATATATATGTATATATATAAATCCTTTTTTAACTTTTGCAAGACGAAGCATGTAAAATTAATCCGGTGAGTGCGGTACAACAGCTTTTCAAACATTTAACACGTTATTTTTATAGCCCCAGTCGTGTTGACAGCCATCACATTTAAGGCTGCAATGACTCGCCCCTCACCACTCACCACGACGGGGACGTAGGGCGGCGTGACCCGCTTCCGCAGGAGGTCTTCCCAGTGGATGGGCGCGAAGAACGGGTGAGCCTTGATCTCGTCAAAGTCGCTCGGCCCCGAGCCGAGCCGAGCCTCGCTCTTCTTCTGCAGCAGCGCCGTAAGCAGCTGCTGCGCCGCCGCTGAGGCGCTCGACCTCAGCCGGGGACGGCCATGCAGAATGCTGTTGTACATCTCGTGCGTGTTGCGGTTGTAGAATGGAGGCAGGCCGTACAGCATCTCGTACAGTACGGCGCCCAGGCACCACCAGTCCACGGAGCGGTCGTAAGGCTGCAGCAGAGGCGGCGGCGGCCGCGTCACGGACGGCTGGCGGCTGACAAAACCTTGCAAAATCTGACAGAAAACGTGACAACAATGGCGGGCAAAGGAAAAAGAACACGAGGCACATTCGATACAGCTTCGCACACAGACTGTCAACGACTTATTTTCGCGCGAACGGCAGCGCTCTTACCTCAAAGCAACGCATTACATTCCAATTTGCTCATTTCAACGACGGCGACACAGGCCTCCAGGTCTTTCCGGAACAAATCGTTGCGAATATGAGCATTTCAACCCGGCATCCCTTCAAACCTGATGAGAACAAGTCTGCAAGGCAACTGTACGGCCAACACGCGATTATGCAAGCTTTAGAATCGTACGGCCTACCGATAAGAAACACGGAACAGATGAAAATACCCGATGGCGTAACAAACCCCATTTGTAAACTTGCTCTAGCAAAAAAGCTTACAGAGTATAATGTGTGGGAAAAATGTATGATTTATAATCTGATATACAGCAAATACAAGCAGGAAAACAAGTGCACATCTTGCAAGCCCCTCTCTACTTAGTGACCACTTTCACATGTTGTGTCCCATCACTAATCGGCGTGTTCCAGAAGCACCAGTTTAAGAGGCACCTCAAATACGTGTAGTTCGATACGATTAGTTCGAGAGACACCTCTAACGACCGCCGGGTCCTGAACATTCTGAGCAGCGCCTCCGAGTTAAGTCTTTGCTGGTTGGTCTGGGGACGTCGGTGTTAATCGCCAGGTACTGACCAATTTGAGGAGCACCTCCGGCGCCATGTACTCCGGAGTCCCGCAGAAGGTGGACGTCTGGGTACTGCCGATCAGACCTTCCTTGCATAGACCGAAGTCCGTCAGCACTATATGACCCTGTAGAGAAGAAACTCAAATTCAAAACTCCCCGGCCAGTCAGCCGAAACTGGAGGCAAAGCAGAGCCAAGACCTGACGGCATGAAGTGCGTACAAACTTTCGGACGCTTGTTAACTCTAATGAGCGTTTTCCTGAAGTCCATGACACTGGACAAGCAGAAGGATCATGGCGATGAGGCGGCAGAGCCAGGTGTAGCATCCAGTTCACCACCAAAGCATCGACGCATGCGTTTAGAGTCAGGATGCCCTTATCGGCATGGTAACGTGAATAAAACATTAGAATCAGAATGCCAGTATGCACGTGTTATGTACTTTGCGGATGTTATATGTTATATATGTAGATACAATAGCATTCCGGATCAAATCCAAATAAGCTAGGAAATTCCGCATTACATTTTCCTGAAACAAAAAAGGAAAACAGTCAAAAAAGATGAGCGGGGAAAGACTGTCGAAACTGGACGGCAGGGAAGAACCGAAAAAGTCCCGCACTTTACGGCGCGCACCTGTTTGTCCAGCAACATGTTCTCGGGCTTCAGGTCGCGGTAGATGATGCCCCTGGAGTGGAGGTAGCCGACGGCCGAGCCGGCCTCGGCCGCGTAAAACCGCGCTCGGTTCTCGCTGAACACCTGTTCCTTTTGCAGGTAGAAGAAAAGCTAGAACAGAGTCGACGCTGATGATAACCTCCATGTTTAGGAGCCATCGCTGCTCGACATGTAGGGGTTTTGTATAAAACCGTGATTTACTTGCCAACGGTTGCTACCAAAATGCGCGCATCACACGATGTGTTGATTTCTAAATTGGAACAAGAAAAGCTTGGTCGCTTGGTGAAGGGGTGCCAGCGTAAATGATAGAACTGTGGCCTGTTTTTGCGAATAGCAGCGTACGATCACGCACGTCGTCCCAGCAATGACCGCATCTCATATAGCAGGTATAATATCCAACATGCACAGAGGACCGCACTCGAGCAAGTGGTTAGTTACCATATGCTTTCAGTGATTCGGCAAAACAAAGTCATCCAAATCGTCGTATCCTCACCTCTCCACCGCTGATGTAGTCGAGGACAAAGTACAGCTTGTCCTTGGTCTGGAAGCTGTAATGGAGGCCGACCAGGAATGGGTGGTCGAGATTCTTCAGCAGCACGTTTCGTTCCGACATAATGTGCTTCGTCTCGTTCCTGTTGACGATCATTCTCTTCTGCAGCACCTTGATGGCGAAGCAGGTCCTCTGGCCCCGGTCGTGGGCCAGGTACACCTTGCCGAAGCTGCCCTTGCCGATCACGCGTCGGAAATCGAAGTCGCTCGGCCGAGCGCTGAGAAAGAGAGGAACGGTTTGACCTGTCGCACGGTCCTTTTTACGATGTGCACATGATCCTGTACAAACGAACAAATGGCGCGTGGCTGTGTCCGAGACAAGGAGAACAAAACGTCCCACTTCATTCGCACAAAGAGATCAATAGCTCACGATCCTATCAGAGAACTCCCTTATCTGATAGTCTACCTCAAGACACTCGTACCTAAATTGCTGTGAGCGAGTCGAATGAGCACGCTTACAACAGACGTATTTACATCTGCACCAATTCATAACTTCCTCAGCAGCTGCCTTCTTCACTCTCCGATCGCACAAACACGAGCGCGTTCGTCTTTGCACTCACTGGCAACGTTCACTGCTGCCCAGAAATACGGCGTCGTCTTCCGTGCATGAGGACGAATCGTCCGTCAGGTTCTCGTCCGAGTCTGATGACCGATGCGACAGCTGCAGGAACTCCTGCACCACCGTTCTGAAACAGGGGCCCTCCTGAACCGCTGCAGGCTGGTTCTCAGGACGCGGAGCGAACCGAAGGTGGCTACTGTCATTCGAAAGAGAAAACGGCGTCGTTTGAAGCTATATTGTCGTCAATGACACTGCCGGCCACAGCTAGCGCTTATGTTTAATTTTAAAGGTTTTGCTCCGACCTTTTGAACGGATGGATTTTGGTATCGAACGCTATTCCAAGCAGTACTTTGTTCTGTGCGCCCCGATCCCGCTATCTCAGCAAAATTCCAGGTCAACGGCAGAATGATAACACAAAAGTTCAACGTGCCTCAATGCCCCGCACGGTCGGTCCTTCCTGCCCTCTGACGTCACCTGACCTTTGGCGCGGCCGCTGCCACCGGCCGCGGGCCATCCCAGTCCAGTGCGAGTGGCAAGCTTAAGGCGACTCGAGCCCTAACTAGCTCGAAACAGCTGAGCTCTGGGACAGGGGTCAGCTCACGAATAGCATCA